GTTTGTCCGGTGTTATGTAAGAAACATCATGTTTGTCCGGTGTTATGTAAGAAACATCATATTTATTTCTCGGGCTACAGTAAATTATACTCATCTCATTTCCATATCTCGAAACTAAATTTGTTATGTAGCAGGTCAATACTTATTTCAGATCATGTTGTCCATAATGGAATGTTAACTACAATGACATATTGTCCATAATGGAATGTTAACTACAATGACATGTTGTCCATAATGGAATGTTAACTACAATGACACGTTGTCCATAATGGAATGTTAAGTACAATGACATGTTGTCCATAATGGAATGTTTAGGCCATCTGTATATGTTTCTTCAGTCTACATTCTCTACTTTATATGACTGTAGTGTAGCGGATCTAATATAGAAAGTTTTCCTCTATAGGTCATCTGTATATGTTTCTTCAGTCTACATTCTCTACTTTATATGACTGTAGTGTAGTGGATCTAATATAGAAAGTTTTCCTCTATAGGCCATCTGTATAAGTTTCTTCAAGCTACATAAGAGGCTCTAAACAATGCTGAAAATAAAAACTTTTTTCTCGTTTCTTTGCAGTGAGTCTTACTGAAGGTAATACTGCGTGATCAACCTTCACTAAGCATAGTCAAGGCATGCCATTATCTTCATAACTACTATATCCAACAAAGTTTATAAATATGGAACAGCAGAGTATGAGGGTTTTCATTATGACAACGAACATCAGCTGTCTGGTATTTTATGTACATCAACGAGTAAATGTATTAAAGACGTTATAAATTCTCTACTTGTCATTTACAATACCAGTTGAAAGTTGATTAAATAAATGTAGAAAACGTTTTATTCACACAGACATGTTAGACATGGAACCCTTAAATAGCCAGTTTACTATGAGAACGTCAAATTTGATTATGAAACTTTGTTATTTTAATCCAGGTGTAACATTAACTTACTGGAAGAACCTTTCTACTTTTAAGGCCTAAAAACCAACGGTTTTATTATTCTGAGTAGCTTTAGTTACTGAGAACTAACCGAAAAAGAAAATCTAAACTCACCTACATTAACATGTCATGCGAGCTAAAAACCCTTCATTACACTGGCTTCTTCTCTCCTTTTTTTTAAAGATAATGTCTTTTAGTGCGCTGAGTTAAAAAGTTATGAATCCGTTCCAGTTTAGCATCTCTAACTGGAAATATCTTGCTAATGTCTCGTTTCTAGGTAAAAGGAGATGAAATGAAGCTTATTTTGTACTTTTAAACAACTCCATATTAAAATTGTTGGTAATGTGATGATCTTACATAAAAAACAATAAAGTTTTGCTCTTTAAAAAAATTAAAATTAGAACTGTGTATGAACATCCAAACCATTTGATCTTGAGAAAATTGTAGTCCAACAGAAAACATCCACGTACAATAGCAACCGTTTTATTCCTTAAGAAAATTCTTTATGAAAAATGGACATAAAAGATACGATGTTGTCGACAAAACTGATTTTTAATATTTACACATTTTAAAAATATTTTTATGGTAAGAAAATGTAATATATAAATAACATGACCACCAAAACAAAATAGTGGGCAACATGTTATTATGGACAGTATAATAACATGACCACCAAAACAAAATAGTGGGCAACATGTTATTATGGACAGAGTAATAACATGACCACCAAAACAAAATAGTGGGCAACATGTTATTATGGACAGTATAATAACATGACCACCAAAACAAAATAGTGGGCAACATGTTATTATGGACAGTATAATAACATGACCACCAAAACAAAATAGTGGGCAACATGTTATTATGGACAGTATAATAACATGACCACCAAAACAAAATAGTAATATACGAAGGTGATGTGTTTTGGAATTTCTGTGTACTTGCACACACACATATATCTAAACATGCGTATTCAGGGTGCCTAGTACAGTTAGCTACAAAACGAAAAATTTGAATTTCTCTAATATTACAGATATTCATATATCACCTATTTCTGAAGTGAGTATACTAAATATCAAATATCTTAGAAACAAATAACTGTCATTGCGTATGACATACCATAGTGGACGACATGTCATTATGGACTGTATATTAACATGGACAACATACCATAGTGGACGACATGTCATTATGGACTGTATATTAACATGGACAACATACCATAGTGGACGACATGTCATTATGGACTGTATATTAACATGGACAACATACCATAGTGGACGACATGTCATTATGGACTGTATATTAACATGGACAACATATCATCGTGGACAACATGTCATTATGGACTGTATATTAACATGGACAACATACCATAGTGGACGACATGTCATTATGGACTGTATATTAACACGGACAACATACCATAGTGGACGACATGTAATTATGGACTGTATATTAACATGGACAACATACCATAGTGGACGACATGTCATTATGGACTGTATATTAACATGGACAACATACCATAGTGGACGACATGTCATTATGGACTGTATATTAACATGGACAACATACCATAGTGGACGACATGTAATTATGGACTGTATATTAACATAGACAACATACCATAGTGGACGGCATGTAATTATGGACTGTATATTAACATGGACAACATATCATCGTGGACAACGTGTCATTGTAGTTAACATTCCATTATGGACAACATGTCATTATAGTTAACATTCCATTATGGACAACATGTCATTGTAGTTAACATTCCATTATGGACAACATGTCATTGTAGTTAACATTCCATTATGAACAACATGTCATTATAGTTTACACTACAGTCATATAAAGTAGAGAATGTAGACTGAAGAAACATATACAGATGACCTGTAGAGGAAAACTTTCTATATTAGACCCTAATTCAATGAGTGCTTTAATTTGGGTTTCCCGGTTATAATAAAGCATAATTCGACATTTCGGTGTTTGAAAGAAACCAATCTTTCTTAAACAATGACAGTTATCTGTACTTGACCAGTTCTAACCACAGATTCCCTCCTATCCCCCCACATCTCCCCTGAAAGCTCAGCGGAACATTTTTTGCCAGCTTGTACCCTGCAGAGATTGAAATGACCTTCGCTGGTTGGAAAACGTGCAACCGCTCACCATCAGCAATGACTTTTCTAATTTCATTCTAACGTGAAACACACGCACACAAATATGTAACATGAAATAATTCATACGTCAATCAACAACGGTGAAAAACAAAATTGGCGTAATTTGTAACATTAAAACCGTGCTGCACGTGAAAAAAACACTTCAGTACATTCAAGATTGATTAATAGAACATGTGAAGAAACAATATTTTAGGTAAATCTTTAAAGGTCAGTTGGATGAGGATCACTGACAATTCTCGTTATTTCAATTAACTTATGATATAAGTTCAATAAAAAGTTATCGACATTTTCCTGCTATTCCATACGTTATAGGACTCACGAGAAAGTCGCGTGAATCTAGAAACAAACAGCTGAAAAAATGATTTTGTAACACAAGGGAAGAGAGTACACTTCGAAGGATTTATTAATAAAAAAAGAACAGTTCTGAAATAATATAAAATTGAGTTATCGCGGCTGAATATTGTGATATCACAGCTACAATAATTTATAACTGAGGTTGTAGATATAAGTAACATAATACAATAAAGTGTTCTAACGTACTGTAATTACCATTTAGTTTAACGTATCATGAATACAATACAACAGTGTAGTGTTTTAACGTATCGTGAATACAATACAACAATGTAATATTTTAACGTATCGTGAATACAATAAAACAATGTAATGTTTTAACATATCATGAATACAGTACAACAATGTAATATTTTAACGTATCGTGAATACAATACAACAATGTAATATTTTAACGTATCATGAATACAGTACAACAATGTAATATTTTAACGTATCATGAACACAATACAACAATGTAATATTTTAACATATCATGAATACAATACAACAATGTAGTGTTTTAACGTATCATGAATACAATATAACAATGTAGAATCGGTATAGTAAACTCCTCACAAGCTTTACTGTAAATACTAGAGGGTCATTGGTTGATTTAATTACAATATGTTTCCTATTTCTAAAACACTATTATGTTCAAATATGTTTGATATTCTGAATACCAACTTTAAATGTTATTTCGAGGTTTACCAACTGACATTTTTCTTTTCATTGATTGAGTAAAATGAAACTTACAAGTACCAGATGTAATATACTTTGATTTGTAAAGAAATTACCTAAAAGCTCAAAACCCTTTCGAAGATTGGTGCAATTTTTTAAGAGTAAACCATAATGTTATATCACTTCACAATAGTAAGTTGTCTCATATTTTGTTATTACATTGTTAATAATATGTATCTTTTTTAATGCTTGGAGGGTGTAATAGAAAATAATATAAATTACTATCAGATCATAAATAATTTACTAAAATAAATGCGAAGTTTAGAAAGTTTTCCTTTATTTTTAGTATACAAATATTTGTTTTTCCGATTGTGAAACTGAAAATATATCAAATGGTTTTTTATGTACTAGAACTTTGCATAAATCTCTTGGAGTGTCTTGTACGCCCCTGGTTTTTGAGTAGAATTTGTTAGGCTTGTTGTAAAAATCATAAAATTGTAATCAGTTTAATCATATACTTGGTTATTCAAACATGTTATTTGCAGTTTGAGTGGTTACTAGTTGTAAAAAGTCGTCAGCTTTTCTTCCATTGTCTAACTTTTTGTTCTAAAATCCCACTTTCCTGTTCGCTATAAGTTTAATGTCGTGTTCCCAGCATCTTTTCTATAAACTTGCTTTGGTTTTGTATACACGTTTCATCAGTAAGAACAGTTAAACGAAGAATTAACGTGTTTTATTGAGTAAAATCTCTCCTGACAAACAAGAGTATTTCCCCAGAACTAACTTGTTTTATTGAGTAAAATCTCTCCTGACAAACAAGAGTATTTCCCCAGAACTAACTTGTTTTATTGAGTAAAATCTATCCTGACAAACAAGAGTATTTCCCCAGAACTAACTTGTTTTATTGAGTAAAATCTATTCTGACAAACAAGAATATTTCCCCATTTCTGCTCCAGTTTCTACGACATCAACAAACAAAGTGGCCAAATTTTTAAGATGTTTTGAATCTACACAAACTAATAGCCACCAATTTTAATAAGTTAATGAGCCTATACATTAACTGCTACAACCAATTTTAACAAGTTGATGAATAAAGCGTAAAATCAAATAAAGAGTCACTTTTAAATCTGTAAGTTGTTTTTATTTTCAATACCATTTAACAGAATTATCAACACACTTAAAAAGTGTTTTTCAACAACATAATACTCAAGTTAATACTATTAGTATGTTGTATAAGTATTGGCGGTTACTTCTAACAGCCTGTAAACATACTGTATAAATACTTATGTTCTAACAGGCTATTAGTATGTTGTATAAGTATTTGGGTTACTTCTAACAGCCTGTAAACATAGTGTATAAATATTTATGTTCTAATAGGCTATTAGTTAAATACTTATACAACATGGTTACTTCTAACAGCCGGTAAACATACTGTATAAATACTTATGTTCTAACAGGCTATTAGTAATGTTGTATAAGTATTTAGGCTACTTCTAACAACCGGTAAACATACTGTATAAATACTTATGTTCTAACAGGCTATTAGTATGTTGTATAAGTATTTAGGTTACTTCTAACAGCCGGTAAACATAGTGTATAAATATTTATGTTCTAATAGGCTATTAGTATGTTGTATAAGTAT